TCATATTCCACACTCTCTAGTAATACTACATTTCCCCCTTTGTCACTTTTTTTAATCACAATGTTTTTAGCATTCTTAAGTTCCCTAAGGGCTGTTCTTTCACCTCTAGTAAGATTATCGGTGTTCCTCAATGTCCAGTCTATCTTTCCAAGATCATCGTGTACTAGGTCCAAAAAAGTACTTAACCATTTATTTTCCCTAATATTAGGCATTCTTTTAGAAGGAGTTTTAAGTCTAGTATGTCTTTTCCACTTATTTGAGACATCCACCTCCCCAATCTCACCACTTAAGGGAGTCTCTTCAAGAAGACTAATAAGATCACTTAGTGCCTGTTGTTCCCTCTCTGAATTAAGGTCACAGGGATTTAGTTCTTCTCTAGGTAAATATGGAATTCTTAAAAGGATCTTTCTCAGGAAAAGATTTAGATCTTTATAAACCTCAAACTGGTCCATTTTATCCGTAGGAGAAAAGGTCAAGCCTTTCCGTAGTAAATCATAATGTCTTTTTTTCAACGTAAAATTGGAAAGATTAATTACCTTAAGGTCATTGGTTCCCTCCTCTAGGTTAGTCTTTATCTCTTGTGGCTTCTGGTTCGATTTTGATTGGATGGTTTTAGGACAGCTAAAGTGCTTCTTTCTTCCTTTGTCCCATTTATTTGTTTGTTTGTCTGTTTTAATATCCCCCTGGTTTTCGCCAGCCGTTTTTTCCTCTAAAAAACTGACAGATCTCTTATTACTTTCATCGTCGTCTTCACTCATTGACGAATATCGTCTATTATTCCTCGAGAAATGTTTTCTGCGTTTTGATCGACTCCTTCCTCTACTATTTGTTAGATCGAATATCTCACCTTTCTCCCAGTCCTCTAGATCTCTTCTAAATTTTTGTTGTTTTGTAAATTTCAGGTTTTTCTGTATTTTTTTCTATCTTTTTCTTTTTTTCTAAGGAAGTCATTATGTTTATCAAACTCGGGATCGTTCTTCAGGGGATCAAGTGATTTTGCACTCTCATTAATTTCATTAGAGAGTTCATTCAATTGAACCTTCTCTTCTTCCACAATTAATCGCATGATCTCTATGCCATGCTTTATACAAGACTCTTTCCACCTTTCCAGAAATCTGGGAGTGTGAAGATGTTCAGCTGGGATTACTCTTTCCCTTAATCCCCTAGGAACAATTCCTCTCTCTATATATGATTCAAGGGATGTAATATCCCACTTTCTATTCAAATATTTGGTAGTAAGCTTCTTATGTAATTTAAACCTAGTCCTGATGTCTCCCTCATTTCCCTCAACCTGAGGGTCTAAGTTCTTTGTGAATGCAAATCTAATTTCGGCATCCATCTCCTCATTGATCTGATAAGCCATTTCCACCCCTAATATTCTCCCTTCCCTCGGAAGGGAGGGGAATACAACCTATCTTATGGATTTAGTCAAAGAATATTACTTATCCAGCAGTCAAAGTACACCGTGCTTATGTTTGAATAAAATCAAAACCTCCAGGGTGGCAGAACAGGTTATAAGAACCTTTAAGAGAGTATGTCACAAAAAATAGAACAGAAAGGTATCTTATGTGGGCCCTGTTTACCCTGTGCACACGGGGAATGTTTTGAAATCCTCTTCATGAGGATAATATGTATATATATATATACACGCTACCCTATTTAGGCATTGTATGCTGTGACATAGCCATATCCTAATGAAACCGCTTCAATTCTCTCTGATTGAGTAATTTTTTGGAAACCCTCCATTGGGTATATAGACTCAGGTTCTCACGGCCTGCTGTATACACAGTATACGTGTCTGGTATTTATGTACTGTGACTACCTGGCTTCCCACCCCCTTATGCACTTCTGTACAAGCATCAAGGACCTGATCTTATTTCAAGTCGACGGATGTCCTCTTGATCTTCATTGATGGTAATATACCCATATTATATTTTTTGCTTTCTGGGTTCACTTGATGCCTGTGATCTATATATCTATATTCATTTTCACATATATCCCCAGAATCATCTGGTACTGTGGACACTGTTTCACTTGGGGTGGTTACCCAGGAGGTCCCTATATTTGAGAAGCGGGTATGACAGTCTTACAACTGAGAAGGTAATTGAAGTTTCCATTTTTTGGTGGAGAGGGAGGTGTGGTGAGGCCTGGAGGTGATTTAACTCCTATATTCTTATACATATATTGTGTTTTGTCTGTGTTCCAGCTTCCACTTACCAGGAGGTTCCTGACATATATTGGAAAATATCTGCTGTATACATGGCCTACTCCAATATAGGCTGGAAATCCATGGAAATCTAGGAGCATTACCTCACCACTACCCCACATCGCCTTATATGGTGCCCTACTTGCCAAAATGACCCTACAATGAAGACGCCTAGTGCATTTTAAACATGATTTTAATTGTTTGACATGTTCACCGTGCTCATGTTTAACCTCCGTATGATCTAAGTGATCAAATAAAGTATTGTTGGAATTTTTTGAATTCATATTACTCCGCGTGGATCATTTAGTAACCTTCTATTTTCAGGTAGGGGTGCTCTTGTCACACTACCATATTGTCTAGTATAAAATCAAGCATCTAGGCATACAGACTGCTTCTCCAAACATTTATGAAAGAATGGGTCGCTCCCAGGAGCTCAGTGAATTCAAGCATGGTAACATAATAGGTTGTCACCTGTGCAATAAATCCATCCGTGAAATTTCCTTGCTACTAAATATTCCACGGTCAACTGTTAGTGGTATTATAACAAAGTGGAATCAACTGGGTACAATAGCAACTCAGCCACAAAGTAGTAGGCCACGTAAAATGACAGATTGGGGTCAGTGCATGTTGAAGAGCACAGTGCGCAGAAGTCGGCAACTGTCCAATAGCTAAAGACCTCCAAACTTCGTGTGGCCTTCAGATTAGCACAATAACAGTGCATAGAGCTTCATAGAATGGGTTTCCATGGCCTAGTAGCTGCATCCAAGCTCTACTTCAACAAGTACAATTCAAAGCATTGGATGCAGTGGTGTAAAGCACGCCACCACTGGACTCCAGAGCAGTGGAGACATGTTCTTTGGAGTGATGAATCTCACTTCTCTGTCTGACAATACGACGGACGTGTTTGGCTTTAGCAGTTGCCAGGAGAATGATACTTGCCTGATTGCACTATGCCAAGTGTAAAGTTTGGTGGGGGGGGATTATGGTGTGGGGTTGTTTTTCAGGTGATGGGCTTGGCCCCTTAGTTCCAGAGAAGGGAAGTCTTATGGCATCAGCATACCAAAATATTTTGGACAATTTCATGCTCCCAACTTTGGGGGAACAGTTTGACGATGGCTCCTTCCTGGTCCCACATGACTGCACACCAGTGCACAACACAAGGTCCATAAAGACATGGATGAGTGAGTTTAGGGTAGAGGAACTTGACTGGCCTCAACCCAATAGAACACTTTTGGGATGAATTAGAGCAGAGACTGCGAGCCAGGCCTTCTCATGTGCAAGCAGTGACTGACTTCGTAAATGTGCCTCTGGAAGAATGGTCAAACATTCCCATAGACACACCTTTATATCTTGTGGACAGCCTTCCCTAAAGAGGTGAAGCTGTTATAGCTGCAAAGGGTGGGCCAACTCAATATTGAACCCTACATACTAAGACTGGGATGCCATTAAAGTTCATGTGTATGTAAAGGCAGGCGCCCAATGTAGTGTGTGTGTGTATATATATATATATATATATATATATATATATATATATATATATAAAGTCTGTAATCATGTTAATGTGTATCCTCATCCACCCAACATGTTACTTTAGTGTTATTCTAACAATTCACGCAAACCCTTTTTTTCTCTGTGTGCAGCACAATGTTTTGAAAGGTGGTGGCTCTCCTAAGGTAAACGTATATATGTTCACCTTGAGCTCTACCATATTGCTACATTACATAAAAGTCACACCAATGTGATATGATTTTAGTCATCATACTGATTTTATTTTATGATAGATATCTGGGAGTGTGCAAATTACATAAATGTTGTTCTAGGGAAAATTACAGGAAAATTTAATTTTTTTTCTAACTACTACCAAATTAATGTCCTATCTGTCCCCCCAAAAAAGATGTATAATATGAGAGTCAATGGGGATTTATGTAGAAAAAAAGCTTGGGAACTCAAGGGGATAAATAGAAAAACAAACTAGCACACAGTTGGGCTTTAAAGCATATAGTATAAAGTATATACTTACTTTCCTTTCTCTCTGTTCCTCTGCTGGGAATGTATGGAAAGCCTTGTGTACAAGTCACCGGGTTGCTCTTCCATGCCTGGAAGTACCCAGTATTTCCTTTGACTCCAGCGCAGTAGGGATTGAAGGAAAGGTAAGTATATCTTGCTTAGGATGTAGGGTTAAAGCAAACATGAAAGCACATTTTCTTGAAATGTATATAGACTTTAAGTTAACAATAAAATTCATATTCATTTCTATCATGTATAGCGGCTGATTTATTAGAACTTGAGGAAAGAAAAAAAGATCTGAGTTGTTGCCCATGTCAACTGATCACATCTCTTTAATTTTTGCATATCATGAAATATAAAACCTAACTGGTTGCTGGCAACAACTCCACTTTCTGGCCTATCTTTTCTCAGTTATTAATGACTCAGCCACATTATAATTTAAAATACTTGGCTTTAGGACTTCTGTATCAGCTTTCCTAGCATCTCTATGCAGAGATGAAATGGTTAATCCCACCAGTGGTGGAAATCAGATGAAACTAATTTAAGGAAGTAAGTGGCAGAGCCAGCTTGCCTGGAGCTCTCTGTGAATGGACATGGAGGGATTTGGATAGTTAAGCCTATTCTCCTTCAAGGAATGGCTGTGACACTTTTTGTGTGCGTCTGCTATTGTACCTGGCTGGCCTACTCCTCTGCAGGCAGTTCAAGACTGGTGTATGACAGCCAAGCCTATAGTCTGCTACCACCCTTGCTTAAGGAGTTGTCAGAGCGCCCAGGCTGGAGGGAAGGAATGCCAGGCCCTCAATCAGTAGCCATCAAATACATGAAAAGGCTGTACAAAATGCTGGCCACCAACGAAGGAGTTCCCAGGGCCCATAAGAGCACAGACTACAATACGGTCCGTCTATTTACACCAAGGACTGAGTGCAAAGTGGGACCAAGAGAAGAGATAAAAAGTCAGTATCAAAAGTGGTAACAATCCACACCTTTTACTAGTATCTTTTTCAGCAAATGACTTAAAAATATTTGTACTTTCTCCTTTTAAACCACAAACAATATTTTCACGTGTTTGTAATAAGCCAGGTCTAAATGCAATTGCATAATCTATTAGTACTCTGTTGCAGTAGATCAAGAGCTGATTGATTGACCTGGGTTACTACACCACCTTATCATCCCAGTTATAAAATGGCATTTGTGCGCTCCCATTTCACCAAATTCCTTCTTAAAGCAGAACTTCACTCTCTCAATCAACATTGACTATTTTTAATCCTTCTGCTGCTAGCATTTGTAAATCGATAGGGAAGTGTATCATATTTATTTGTGTTTTTTAAACTTTTTTTTTTTACATTTCTTCAGTTACTTCCTGGTTTCCATGCTTAGGCAAATGTCATACATTCTAGAAGTTTTTAAGAAAAGGGGGGGAAGGTTCTTGGCTCAGCCTACGCCTGAGTTAGTGGCAGATGGATCCTAGGAAGTAAATGCTACATGAATCATCTGTACTTACTCAAGATGGCCACTGTCAGGAGTGCCAGGGTGTGTTAATCAAAATGATTTCTCAGCAAAATAAAGCATGGAGACATGGATGAATGGGTGAGTTTGCTTTGAATATTAAAAATGCATTAAATCGCATTTTTGCTTTGTGGCGCTCAGATGCAGTGCAGCTCCACTTTAAAGTAGCCTGTGGATCAAGTACATGTAAATAGTATTTCCTGACCATTTTTTGTGGTACAGCGCTGCATTACTTTGACAATTGCGCAGTCGTGCAACACTGTACATAAATTCAATTGATGTCATCTTTTTCCCACAAATAGAGCTTTATTTCGGTGGTATTTGATCACCTCTGCATCTTTTATTTTTGTGCTATAAACAAAAAAAAGACCAATTTTGAAAAAAAAACAAAACAAAACCATATTTGACTTTTTGCTATAAAACATATCCAGTAAAAAATAAAAAATTTCTTCATACATTTAGGCCAAAATGTATTCTGCTACATAAAAAATGGCAATGCATGTAAATTAAGTGGTTTATTTGAAAGTTGTAGCGTCTACAAATGGCGGAAATTTATATATATATATATATATATATATATATATATATATATATATATATATATATATATATATGGAATTTAAATTTTTTTTTATACTAGTAATGGCGAGGTTCAGTGACTTTGACTGCAGTGGGCATTCTGACACTGGGTGGGAACTGCTACTGACATCCCAATGACACTAATATGGTGATCAGTGCAAATGAAAAGCACTGACTCTGTACTAATGACAAGGGCAGGAAGGGGTTAACATCTGGGGTGATCAAAGGGTTAACAGTGTGCTGTGTGTTTTTTTACAACATGTACTGTGTGTGTTTTACTAGGGAAACGTGCTGCTGTGTATTTCTCTGCTGTGCAGAGAAATACACAGCAGCATGTCCTTGCTGGCAGGAGAGAGACCTGTGTTTACAGACCAGGTCTGTCCCCTGTCAGTTTTTTACTTGGCGACTGCTGGGTGCCGTGGTGAATCTCCGACTAGGACCCGGTGATTGACAACCATATATATATAATTTTGTGCAGCCCTGTCGCCCTCTAGCAGCAGTTCTATTATAGGGCGGCGGGAAAGCAATAATGTCATTTGCATTTTTGTTACCCATTAGGGCCCATTCACACTAACTGCATGCTAAACTGACTGGGGGGAGAGGTGTGAAGCATGTTTCAGTGCGTCAGTGTCCCATATATATATATATATATATATATATATATATATATATATATATATATATATATATATATATATATATATATATATATATATATATATATATATATATATATTTTTTTTTTTTTTTTTTCATTTAGCAACATGCCTACCTGTGCACTGAGCTAAAATGCAGCATCTGGACTGTGTTACAGTACATTACAGTGCACATAGAAAACAATTGCTCATGAGGAAAAATGCCAGTCACTGCAGTATGTGTGAATGAACCCTTAAAGGATAAGTTCACCTTTTGAAAAAAAAGTAATACATTTGCAGGTAAAATTGTGCATTTTTTATTATCGTTTTGATTTATTTATTTTGTTTGTTTTTGAAAGGAGCCTGTAGTGCATTGCACCCACAATCAGCAGATCTCGGGTGCAAGCGCAGGTTCTCCGCATAGCTGTCTGCCTGTACAGGCAGGCAGTTAGCTGAGAGCAGCAAGTATCCGTGAACTACCAGTACCCTTGTAGTTCATTCAGATCAGGAACTTGTAGGCATTAATTCATAGGGAACAGTGAATGAATGTTGCTGGTGTGGATGGAGCCCCACACAGCTGCTATGTTTTCAAATAGTGATAGTGGGTGTGGGGAGAAGATCCCCTGTCTGCTGTCGCAGGGAGGAGGGGGGGGGAGAGAGTCTTCAGATGCTGAAACATGTTCCACCCTAAAAACGGGTGGAATATGTAACCTGTACTAAAGGTAAACTTATCCTTTAATCTTATGTATACATATTAGAAATGAACATTTATATTTCCAATTGGCTGCCTATGGAATCCTTTTGCACAAACGCATTATGCTATTTGGTAAATGAAAATGCTTATTGTGCCACCTTTTCTGCCCTTAATAGATGTGAAATCCCTGGACTTGTTGTTCAATATTGACAGTGTCTCTACAGTGGAGCAACCTCTTCGCTCTGTCTTGGTTTACTCTGTAGGTAAACAACATTCCTCTTCAAATATTTCCTGCACCTGTAGCCTGGAGTTAGTTGATCAAGAGACTGCAAGTCCTGTCTGTCCTAGACTTCTGTATACATCTGAATTTCAACTGCAGACAAAGCAAAGATGGATTGAGATTGATGTAACCACTTTTCTTCAACCTTTTGTCTCATATCGGCTAAACATTCACCTGTTGTTTAATTTAACATGTATGAGGAACAAGGTTAACTACAGTTTTGGAATAGGGGGACCATTAAGAAAAGCAAGATCTCCACCATGTTTGCTCCTTTATTTAAATGACACCAGAAGTATGGCTTACCACTGGGAAGAGCTGCATATAGGTCCTCCCGGCTGGCAACAGAGTGGGCATATGATTTCAAATCTCATTGATTTAGCAGAAAACCTCCAAATGCATAAAGTCCTTCGCCAACGAAGAGGTCAAGACACGGATGTGGGCAGTCCAACTGTTGGGTCAATTGCATTTAATTTTAGTGAGATGGCCAAACAATTTGTGCATCATCAGAATGAGTGTGAGCTTCATAGATTTCGACTCAGTTTCAGCCAACTGAACTGGGACAAATGGATCTTGGCACCACATCGATATAGCCCGGATTACTGCAAAGGAGTATGCCCTAGGGTTCTTGGCCACAGGTACGGTTTCTCCAGTACATACTATGGTTCAAAATATAATTTATGAAAAATTTGACTCTTCTGTACCCCGGCCTTCTTGTATTCCATCTGAATACCGACCCATGAGTGTTCTCATCGTTGAATCTGATAAATCTATAGCATATAAAGAGTATCAAGAAGATGATTGCAACCAAATGTACCTGCCGTTAGCCTTCATTTCCATAATCTTAATCTGTGTGACCAGCCATAAGCACCCTTTCAAATCAGGTTTTATGGAGACAAGGCTAGCAAAGTTTAAAGGGCAAGTTCACCACTAGGAGCATGTTACACCCATATTTAGTGTGTAACATGCTCCTATGCACCCACCTTCCATCACCCGCTCTCTCCTCTCGGTGACCTTCTCCCCATACCTGCTGTCAGAATTTGAAACCGGCATAGCCATGTGGGGCTCCACTCACATTGCCATATCATTCATTCACAGTCAGCCATTGCTTGTAGTTCTCAATGAACTGCAAGGGCGCTGGTGATTGTTCCTGGACTTCAGTAATTGGTCCGTATGGGCAGGCGGCTGACTGAGTCTGCAGGATACAGGCATTGCACCCACAATCTCCTGATTGTGGGTGCAATGTAAAAAATAATAAATGCACTTTTTTTTTTCTGCAGTGCATTTATTATTTTTCTTTACAAAAGGTGAACTTGGCCTATAATGACAGAATAGAATTGTACATCCACCCACATCCAAAAGGTGTTATTTTGCATTATGTTACCATCTTTTCACCAGCGGTATGCAGATAGGTGGCCTCTTCGGCAGGTGGGCTATACCTCCAAGAGGCCACATGTGGCCTCATGTAAACCATTTTCTTTGCTGAGAGCACATTCCCTGTGTGCTCCCCAACACAGTTACCAGCAGGGACCAGAAAGCTTGCAATGCATAGTTGCGATCAGCGGCTTTCCAATGAGGTGACTGCCAATCACAGCGGCCACATGATCGGAATGCCTGCCTTCAACACTTGGCATTTAAAACCTTTAAATTGCTGGGAGGTGGTGTTTGCGAAGTGTGCTAATTAATAGTTGTTCCAATCCTGTTTGCTGCCGGTTTTATGGTAAAGGTACATTTAAATTCACATGAAAAATTCCTTCATCTTCAATGTAAGCCTGAGAAAGAACTGCTTTACAAAGAGAAAAAACTGACCTTGTTGTATTAGTTTTAGCTTGCATAAAAAGTGGGTACGCTAAATGTTTGACAAAGCACTAGTTTGAAACAAATTTCTTGAGGTTTACAAACGCACCCTCCAACTTCGGTTCAAGTAAAATCAGCACAGACCTCAGTGGGTCTGTTGGCTGTCCCTTGAAACATGCTGCTAGTAGGCTTCATCAGGCTATTTAGATGCTTCCACACTACTTGATTAGTTGAAAGCTTGCTGAAGCCTCCTAGCAGCTTTTAAAGTGGCATCCAGTAACATGCATTGAGATCTGTGTTGAAAATCTCCAAACTGAAATCTCAGACCCCTCAAAGCTGGCTAAAAGCTTGTGAAGAAGCTTGTGAAGTTATTTTGTCAAAGCTTACTATACACATTACGCTTACAGAGGCTGAAGCCTGTGTACAAGGCCTAAGGCCCAAATACAACAATAAGGTCGAACAAAATAAGCTATGCTTCTTGCTTAAAGGTATTTTAATGATGCTGTGTTAAATATCTAAAGGACTCTAGATACCAAGAAGGAGGTTTTAAGATTTCTGGCGTCGCTTTTAAATGGCCTATGTTCTTTTAAAGAAAAGGTCAAATGGTTGTCTCTGAGACAACCGCCCTCCTTCACTTGTGGAATCTGAGAAAAAGTTGTCTAAAACTGAAGACAACTTCCTTTTATGCAACACGGTGAAAATGTTCTTAGGTGGACTGTAACTAGTGATCTCTAGCAGGTTTTTGCAGAAATACATGCAAAACACTTTGAGCTACAATGTTGCAAGCAAAGTGCTAGTACTTAGCATTTGAACTTTGCAAATATTTGTAAATGTAGATTTTAACATAACTTCTTTTTGGATAGAAGAGAGGCAGTACTGCTACACTTGGGTCGAATTTATAAAGCTGTGAATGTGGCATTTGCCAAAAAATTCATCGGGCAATCATTCACTTTGTATTAAAAACATTCACCAGGAAGATTTACCTGCAGTGATGGTTTTGTTACATTCACTGCTTTATATACAAAAAAAGCCCCTTGGACATAACTTTAAATATTGGGTTTGTAGAGAGCAGTATTGGTGATGGTATGTGATAATACTACTTTACTTTTCTCAGCATAGCAGGCTCACTTGGTTGATATAGAATATCTAAACATTAGAGCTCCTATTGTGTTTGTAGCTCTTTAACTTTGCTGCATTTGTAAGTAGTATTGCTACTGCCATATGATATAGAATATCTGCAAATTGGAGGTCTTATCTTGTATGTAGCTCATTTTAACATCTCTCTTTAGGTATACTTTTTCATGATGTCTTACTTTTTGAGGTTCCCCTAGCATTAGCAAGAGGGCCTTCAATAAAAAGTAACGTAGGTAGGTTTATGTAATTTATAATACTAACACTTTCTAATTTATTGTTGGGGTGGGAGGGGGAGCTTTTCTGTTAGCACAGCAATTTAATTGACACTCTTAAATGTCTTGTTCAGAAGAAGCTGCTGTAAAAAAAAAAAAAACATGACTACGTTTTTTCATATTCCCAGTATAAGTAGTCAGAGTAATGGTTATCAATGATGCAATACACTGTATTTTTCCTAATGAAAATGTTGACTGCCACTATATTTGCAATTAAATAGAAAATGCAATGCTGTGTCCGTTGATTTATTTCAAATTGTCTTATTCTGTTTTTGCATGCATCTGCCTTATGTACCCCTTCTGGAGATGAAAGAATATGAAAGGGTGTGTAAGTCAAGTGATATTGATGACTGTGCTGGTAATGCTCAACAAGATTTCCCACATTTGACTCCATGTTCTAATTATTTGAAGCTAGATTATATACATTGGTGTTCAAAAGTTTGAAATCCCAAACAAATGTTTTTGAAAGCACTGATTTTTTTTTTCGAGGTGATATGTTGATTTAGAAAAGTATTACAAAAATAACTAATGTTGCAGATGGCTATAATTTAAAACTGAACTATGGGCAATGTGTTTTTTATTTTTTTGGTTTTTTTTTCTTTTTCTGCTCATTTTATTTTATTTATTTTATTTTTTTATTTTTCTTTCTTTCCTGGAGGATTGAAGGATCAGGTGAGTAGAAGTTTTGTGCTTACCCCTAGAAAAAAACAAGCAGTTGACTCATGCAGTTTGACTGCATAGGAAAAAAACATTTGCCCAGAGTTGGGTTTTAGGAAAATCTGATTTTATAATTTATCTACATATACAGTAACTGCAAAACTCCATTTTCAACAATTGCTTTGATGCCGAAAGGTAAACTTTAAAACGTAACCCTTTACAATTCGACTGTACAATCTTCTTTAGTTCTGCAAACAACTATGTAGTGCAAGGACCTGCCTACTTGGATACAAATCTATTGGACAGTTTTGGCAGGTACTTCAGTCGTATAATTTTAGTTAATCTAAAATAGATTTTACAAAGCAGAGGTGTAGCTTGAAGCTTGTGGGCCCTGATGTTGAGAAACGTTGACCTGCCCCCTCTTCCACCAAGGGCCAAGATACTCCAAGTTGGTAAAGCAATAATCGGCCATAGATGATACAATTTTCTTTCCTATTACTATTGTGTTCTGCCAGTGGGGAGCCTTCTCAGCCAGCAGAACACAATACTCACTGCTAATGGCTATAGCCACCAGCAGTGATTGCATGTAAAAAGAAAAAAAAAAGTGCCCCCTCTGTACATATTACCCAGTAATATGTACAGAGGGGGCACTTTTTTTTTTTTTTTACATGCAATCACTGCTGATGGCTATAGCCATTAGCAGTGAGTATTGTGTTCTGCTGGCTGAGAAGGCTCCCCACTGTACATATTACCCAGTTCCTGTACATATTACCCCCCCCCCCCCCCCCGTACACAATGTTTCCTTCTGTACAGATAACCTCCTCCTGTACACAATGCCCCCTCCTGTACAGATAATCCTGTCCCTGCCTGTACACAATGCCCCCTCCCATGTACACACTGGCCACATCCCCCTTCCCCTACACCTTGCCTTCTTAACCTGTCCCCCAAAAATATCAGTTGCTGAGATGCTGCACTGATTACTCCTCAGCCTGGCAAGGGTTAAAGCTGTTCGGTTGCACACTGGAGATTCCAAAAGAAAGCTGCAAGTCAGGCTCTCTGTTCACATTTCTGCCAACATACCCAACTCCCCAAAGTACACAGCAAAGATGACAGAAATGTAGCAGTGTGTAGATTGGAGGCTTACCAGTGGCAGCTAGAGTGGTAGAGATCTGACTTTGTGTTTGCAGAGAGCAGCTGCAGGTACAGTCCAGAATCACTGTACTAGACCTGCAGCGGCTGCCCCGGCTACCTGGACTTGGGCAGTGCTGTGGGTGCAACCCTTGACCCTAGGCCAATGGTATAAAGATTGTATAGTCTAATTACAACATGTATGGTTTCAATGGTCCTTTTAGCTCATGCTTGAATGACAGCTTTACTTCTGGTGAAGTTGTTCTTCAAGGCTTCCCCTTAACTGTGCTTACCTCCATCCCCCTTACACAGAAAAATCCCAGCTGGACCCAGTACCTACTTTGTACAAGCACTGCATACTCATTCATTCCTTTGGCTGGTTTGTACCTGGGCAGCTTCAGTTATCTACAGGAGTAAATGTGAAACTTTTTAAGAAGCTTGGCTTTATAGAACAAATAGAAAATAAAGCTGAAATTGAGCTTTAAAGCCCAGCTCTGGGGGAAAAAAAGTATCCCGTCCAGTGGGATTGCATTCAAACTGCAATGGTTAACTGCTCATTTAGGTCTAGGTGGCACAGAAAAGATTTACTTACCTGTTCCTCTTCTCCTCCAAGCTACTATACAAATCCCTGAACATCCACTCTCCCATGCTCCAGTGGTCTAAGATCCTGATCTCCATTGGCCCCAATGCGGGGAC